ACTAGTAAGGCACTTGTTACTAGAAGCGTGGCACTTGTTACTACTAGCTTCTTGTTAGCAGGGGAATGCATGCGATCACCGGAACCCTGAAAAACATGCACGGTCATCTCTCCAACTGCGGACCAGGACCAGGAGTCCTGCATTGGTACGGCTTAGACAGTGAGAGGACAAAGACGTTACACGAGGAGTTCCTCAAATAGTTCAAAAGACCTCACTGTTTCAGATAGTCTGTATGAGCTATCATGAGCTATCCAATGCTATCCATATGATCCACCGTGTTTGCGCCCGCCCTGTGCCCCCCAAAAAGGTCCTCGCCGTCCGTCGCGGTGCGTCGTCTTCTGTGCGTCGTCTTCGGTGCTCCTAAGGGCCTCATGTCGGGAGGAGGAGCTGTCCAGAGAAGATGCAGAGGTGTCGAGAGCGTAAAGATGTTCATCGTTGATGACCGGTCAGTCGACGATCACAGAAGCCAATGCGGTGCCAATGCGATGCCCCTGTGCTTTTCATGAATGTGATCGATGTTCTTCCATTGTTGAAGATCTTGAGGCAAGCTTTTCAATGAGGGTTTCCCCTCGTCACCAAACAACCTGGAGTTTTGATAGCTTCTCTTGGCATAGGGGGGATTGCACGCAAACACACGAGGATACAAAAAGTCTACAGTAGTTGACATCCTTGAATTGAAACCAGTTCTTTATAGTTCTTTAATTTAAGGATGCGTTCGTCACTTCCCCGCTTGCCAAGCCAACAGCATGCCCAGCAGCATGCCCAGCGCCAGGTGCTTCATGACACTGAAATCATGCTGAATGACTCCAGCCTTAAGACGAAGACCTCCAGTTGACAGGGCGCCCAAAATGGTGCGATGGGCGAGCTGGTTTGTTTGTGTTTAATAATGCTTTCCTTGGCCATGTTTTGTTGTTGTTGTTGTTGGTGGTGGTGGTGGTGGTGCTGGTGCTGGTGCTGGTGCTGGTGGTTCTGTTATGCATTCATACGTTCATAGACTTATGAACGTTTCCTGGTTCTTGACTTGGTTCCTTTCTTTCTTGAAGATGTTTAGAACTTGTCTTGCTTGACACCTGATTTTTAGAGTTTCGATCACTTCCTGTTTTTCGCTCTCAGAGTCACCGCAGACAAGTCTCTGCACCGGTCCGTTCGCAACGGTCATCGATCGTCGAGCCGTATCCGAGGCAGCACGGCCTCCACGGCCTCCACGCTGAGGGAAGGCGGGGTGGCAGTTGGTCTACAACCTGCTTTGGCTCACAAAACGACAGCACCAACGAGTTTTCTTGGATGTTTGAAGGTGCAGCACTGAGCTGGGTCTATGAAGGTGGCTGGTTGGAGAAATTCAGATGTTCCGTGTCTTAGCACATGTCATGACCTTCCAAGTAGGTTGGGTTGAGAGCTGTTGAGAGTAGGTGGTGCATAAATGGTTGAGTCCATGAAAAGACTTGAGCCCAGAATCTGCATGGGTGGCATGGATAGTCTTGGCCACAGTTCTTGATGCTATTCTCTTTTGGGTTTGAAGCTTACATGTTTGGACCTCAAAATGGATCGAATGGTCCCAAAGCGGGGTTCGTCAACGAGAGATGTTGCTTTTCCAGCGCCGAAATGGCATTTTGGCCCACAGCTGTGGATCACTATCACTGTAGCTACAACACCAACGCGAGACCAAGGCTTTTGATGCCTTGGTCTCGCATTAGCAGCATCTAAATCTATTATGACCGTCGACGTTCTTGAAATTGCCATTGAATGTCATTGCCTCCCTAAAGTCCATCAGCTTCAAGACGCTGCAATGGGACCAACTGGAACATCCAAAGTGGTTAAACAAGTGAGGCATGTCAGCAGTCAGCATGTCGGTTTATTCTGAACCACATTGGCCCAGGCCACAGGCCAAAAGGTGGAAGACATCAAAGTGACCAAGTCAGTCCGCGCTCGACAGACCTCCATGACTCGACAGACCTCCAATGGGTCAAAGCAACTGCTGCCATGAAGACAAGGCTGGTTCGGCGGCTCTGGCGGGTGTGTGGTAAAAGGAACGCGAACACAGTCCGTGATGCTACCAGAGCAGAAGCACGAATATTTCGTTCAATTTAGATTGCGTGTTGTTCAATGTCTTGCCCATTCTCGTTCTTTTCACATTGTTAGGCGCAAAAAATAATCATAAAAAACAACAACCAAGCCGCTGAAGGGGTGGGTGCATTGAGCAAAGGCCACTGGGGGCACTGAATCTACATTGCTCCATGTGAAAGATCGCCAGATTTCGCAATCTTCTTAAGCTTGGATGTCGACCATTTAGGCAAAACACATCATCCTGGCTAAACTGCCAGAGCAATTAGAAACGGTTCAGTTGCACCTAAGCTGTTGCTGGACCAGGTGCCACAGGCCATTGAAGAGGTGCCGGGCCATGCCGGGACAGGCTGGGACATCACTGCTTCATTTGACTGGACTGACCTTCATCATTGCTCTCTACTTTGCAGTGGAAATGGGTCTTGCTCATTCAGCAATTCCATTGCCAAAGCAGGTTATGATTGCATTCAGGATCGTTCAGGATCACTTTGGACGCACGTCCGGTCTCCATTTTTGACCTTCGCACGCACCGATTGTCCCGTGCGAGTCGCGCCAAAACAGGGTGGTCTTCCCTGTTCTGGCCACCGATGTTTCTTCTCTTTTTGGCGTTCTTTGTTTTTTTCCACATGTTTTTGGTCTTTATGGACATCTTTAGACCTTGTCTTTCTTTCGTTCTTCCACCGTCGTCGCACCGCCACGCCAGGTCCAGGTGATGTGCCCAAAGCGCCTGCCGCGGTGACCCTCGACGCATGCAACGCCGAAGAGACCGGCGAAGCGCTGCCTGTGACTTTTAATAGCTGCAGGAGACTTCGAAGGGCATGGATTTCGATGTCTTTGGTTGAAAGGGGAAGTGTTTGGGGAATGTCTAACAGCAAGATCTTCAGGAGCCATTTTGGACGGATTCAGCGTCAGAACACCAATCGGCAGCTACTTGTGGACACGGAGTCTTGGCGAATCAACAAACTGCCTGACAGCGATTGGAGAGCGTCCCCCCCAAGCAGGTTCCTTCAGACGGATAGATGCTGAAGGATGCTGGCTGCAGCAACAGGCATCGTACAGTTGAGCAGCTCATGTCGCGTTGTGTATTTTTTTATGGACATCTTGGGATAAATCCATTAGGTAATGTTTTGGGATCGAAAGCTCCGACTGGTTGCAGTCACATTGATCAAGGAATATTATGAAGGGGACCATAGACGGCCATGCGATGCCGCCAACAACCAGGTTTCGAGGGTGGTCCAAGGCCCTGGACCTCGCACATGCTAAGGAGATCCTTCGAAGCGTCTCATTGAGGAGGACTTTACATTGGCTGGGGGAGATGTGGTCCAAAAACCCCGCCACTCCGCTCCGTGAGCATTGTTCTGCTTGGCCAGGGATGGCATGCGGGTGTGTTTTTGACAGACCGGGTGGAGGAGATGTTTTTCTCCAAGGGTTCTTCTAGGCTGAGTTAGAAGGGAAATTTCTAGATGACTCAGAACTCATTGGCTGAAGAAGAGCGAGACTTTTTCTCCTCGGTTGGAGTGATCAATAACTGAGCTTCGTCACCAGGTTTGCAAGAAACTGAGGCGGAGCTCAGCATCTCCCAGGGGGAAGCTCTTTGGTCTCAATCGCATCCAGCCTTGAAGTATGACATCTTCCTCTCACACACCTGGCAAACATCAGGCCGGGGAAGCATCGGTTTTCAAGTGTTGAACACAAACCCGGCAGGTCAACCCTATGATGATTGGGTGACAAGCTCAACACAGAAATCTGAGCATATATACGTCCTTCTACAAGCTGAACGTCCAAAAAACGCAACATTCAAATTTGAGCTGCCACTGAAGTCCAGTTGGAATACTGGAAACAAGAACGCTACTCGTACTAGGAGCTAGAAGCTTCTTTGGGAATCGTTTCACTGGGAATCGTTTCACCTGTAGTTACAAGAATGCTACTAGGTGGAGGCCATCGCTACTAGGATGGAGGTTCGCGAGGTGCGCTACTAGTAGCTCCTGACCTTAGTACTGGGAACAAGAACGCTACTAGGAATCAAGTGCATCGCTTCTAGTAACAAGTGCCTTACTAGTAGTAACAAAAAGCTTGTTTCTAATAGCTTCTTGTTACTACTAGTAAGGCACTTGTTACTACTAGCGTGGCACTTGTTACTAGTAGCTTCCTGTTACTACTAGTACTGGGAACGCTACTTTTTGGAAGGTACACAGAAATTCCTGGCCTTGTCGCTCCAAAGTGGCTGGTGGCTGGGCAGGAAGCGGGCTCGTACCTGTAAGCCCAGGTAAGCACGCAATCCGCAATTCATCATCCACAATTTGCCATCTCTTAAGATGACTGAACCCATTTAGAAGATGGCTACACGTTCAGATCGGTTCATCAGTCTCCACCACTTTTTTGGTCCAATTCTATCATTTTCGCCAATATAAATAAACACATGACAAAAACGAAGGGATAGATCAATGGAGCCCAACTCAAGATGTTTACAGCACTGGTTTTTAAGCAACCATTTGCATATGAAATGGTGAAATCTCCCAGGTCAGTTGCCATTGCTTTTTGGCTGCTTGGCGTTTCAACTTCCGTGGTCCTTTGCTTGTGCAAGGCCCGAACCTGAGGGCACGGGGGCACGGCAGCTAGGTCGGATCGCACGGCAGCTAGGTCGGATCAGGCCAATGGAGTATTTTGGGTTATGTTGAGGATGCGACAGTGCGACCTCACGTGGAGTTCCTATGAGTGGCGAGGCCATCGCTAGTAGGTTCGAGGCCAAGCTGCTTTGGGCTTCATCTCTGACCACTATCGAAGTATGCACTTAGTACCTCCTTTCCTTCTTGTGTTGGACTTTCGTGAAGAACTCGCCGACAAGAAAAGCCCGTCCTGTCGATGTGAGTGGATCGAATGGCAGACCTGCAGGTCTTGCCCACGTGGCCGGTGATGGTCTTACCCAACTTCGACGCGCCGACCACGGTGTGGACAAACCTCCTGGGCCACTTTCAGCTTCGAACGTGGGGAACAATGGGTCGAAACGGTTCACAGGGGCTGAAACGGAGGTTCCACTCGATCGAGTGGGATTCACCTTGATCACGCAGAGGATCCACTTCAGCAAGCGGAATTGTTGTGCGATAGGACTGCAGTCTCTGTTGTTATAACAGGATCGAGAGAATTTTTGTTCTGCCCTTTCTTCTCAAAATTTTGCTTTTATACCCGATCACAGACATGCAAGATAAAATTACAGTTTCTTCTGTTGCAGCATCGGTTCAAAGCATACCGATAAACAGTGAGATCCGCCGGCTGATGTCGAGGCCTGATTTTCCTGACCGTGGGCTTCTTGATCGCGCCCTATTTGCCCCGCTGTAGAAGTGTGGCAGACGCCTGTTTTCTGGACGTGGCTTGTGTGAATCAGAGTGACCGAGAACTTATGGAACGAGCTGTCTATGGCTTGGGCGGCTTCCTTTCAGTTTCTGAGCCTGGCTGAAAGAGGACGATGCGTTGAGAGAGCTGGCTGGGGGTTCGACCGAGCTTTTGGGCAGGATGTGGGAGGACACCGAGCTTTTAGGCCTTTTTGTGGCGGCGTGGTGGGTGACTTCAAGAGCCCAGGGAGGTAGAGGTTTCAGGAGCCAACAGGTATTCAATGGAATGTTGAATGAAGGTGTCTACGAGTAGCGTATTTGCTCCGTTCGTAGCGATGCCAGGAGCCCCGTTCGTAGCGTTCTTGTTCCTAGTGGCGATGCCAGGAGCCCCTAGTATTGCTTGGTTTCTAGTAGTAAGGCCAGGAGCTACTGGTAGCATTCTTTTCATTGAAAAGGAGAGCAAACCATTTGGCAGAAAGGCTTCGGCACCATATCCAAAAGAAAAAGAAGCTTTTGAATCCATGCACGTCTGCTGGAGAGCGATCTGAGGATGAGTTGCGCGTCTTATGGAGCCCACCATATTTATCCAGACTTTGGCGCCCAGACGTGAAAACGGGCGCAGCGGGACTGTTGGCTGTTGGCAAATCCAAAGCCCTTCAGAAGCTACTAGTAGTAGCGTCCTTGCTCCAGGACTCCTAGATGCCCTTTGCTACTAGTAGCTTCTAGTTCCTAGTAGTAATGCCTCTTTTACTATAATTCTGGTCAAGTGTCACAACGAAAGATCCGTTTTGTTCACCTACTCAATCTATTCTTTGCCCCGTGCATCTCCACGCAAATCTTAAAAAATCCATTGACGGACTAAGCAAGTCATACCGTTCCGGCCACAGCGATTGCCGCCGCGCCACCGGCGGAACGCGCCGCTCAGGTGCATCTTCGAACTGGCCGCCTATCGCTCCGCGAACCCCACGGGGCGCATCCGTTTCGCGCCCATCTACATCGAACTTTCAGTTCCTTAGCGACTTCAGGGTCCAAGTGCAGGTGGATGCCATTAAGAGTTGGGCAAAGCCAAAAATGGCATCACTGCATAGCATCGCATAGCACATACCCCCAGATCTTCCGCTTCTTTTTCGCTGGGCGATGCATATGCCAGCGAGTAATACTTCGCCATTCCCTCGGCATTCGACGCCCAGGTCCTGGTGGCCGTTGTAGCTGGACATGTTGCCTGCTGCTGCTTGGACCATCGGGGGCGTCGTTGTGGGGGTCGGCGCGGTTCCGAACACGGCGAAGGTGTTTCTACGCTGAAGTCAGATGAGAGACGCACCAGTCTATTTGCCCAAGCACCGAAGCAACTAGTGTTGAAGGTGTTCGAACGTTGGCTAGACCTGGGTGCAACTTTGCTTGAAGGCCCTCCAGTGAAACCGGTGAGCTCATGCCTGAAAGGCACAAACCTCTATATACAGTTACGATTGCCACCCTGAGATTCGTTGAACATCAGGTCTTCGTCCGATGCCGTTGCTTTCTTCGAGGCTTCTTCGCAGCGTTCACTGGGTGGCTCTCGGCACATCCAGCGCTAGCTGCCATAGCAGGTTGGCTGCCCCTGACGCAGGCCTTGCATACATTGCGGAGGCTGAACCGTTCCAGAAGCCCGGCGATTTGCCGCGATTCCTGACGCCGACGCGAGAGCAGCGGGGCCTTCAACGGGTTCTTATTGTTGTGGCCCAGAATGGTGGAAACGCATGTCAATGCGCCCAAATCGCTGGGTACTGAGGAGCTGAGCTCATCTCTGAGATGCAGAGCTTCAGTTTGAGTCGAGCAGTTTGCAGCTACTCGGTGGAGAAACATGGGGCACTCAAAAGGACGCCAATTGGTCGATTCAAGTCGGACGGGGGACTCTGTTGGGACTCCATGATGGATCTCTTCCTGCCAGGTAACAGCCAGGATCGCGACTATGTGATGTCGGCCATTGCGCATTGGTACCTGGGCAGTACGTAGCAGTCATGTCATATGCTACAGCTGGCTGGGTCGGTTTGTTGAGTGTTTCGGGGTGGCTTGGTGTTGATTCTCTCTGTAAGGTACAGAAAGACAGAGAGAGATGGAGAGATGTTAGGCCAGGAGATGTAAGGAGTTGGGTTCAGAGGGCTCGTGGGTCATATGGAGTCTAGTTGATCAGTCCACCCGGTGTGGTTCTTGCCACAACTGCATGTGTCTTGATCGACTAGTCGATCTACAGAGTGATTTGGCTTTGGCACATGACGGTTTCGTCACAGCGAAGCTTTTCCACCAACACAGCACTCGCCCAGGTACCAAAGCCCTGAAGGCTTTGAGGACTACGTCCGCGGGCCTTTGCGACAAGAGTTGCGACTCAGCTTATGCAGCTTTTACATGTGACTTTGGCTTTGCCGTTTTTCTAGACTCTTGGAACTTCAGGGATTCTCCGGACTTTGACATGCGTCTCCACTTCGCTCGGATCCACGGGCGGACTGTCGGGAGTGAGGCCGTTTTGGAAACCAATCCCTCTTCGAAGAATGTACAGACATGCCCAAAGTGCTGCTCAAGGTGAGCTAGCCAGCCATTGCTTTGCGATGTTTGTGCATCAGAACAACACTGGCACAGCCAGTGCCAGTGTTGATATGATGCCTTTCTCATAAATGGGGTCATCAGGCACATGGATCTCGCATGTTCATCCATGTCGTCCCAGTCCTCGTCCTTACAACTTGGCCGACTTTCACCTCCCGTTTTGTTTCTACTAGCGATGGCCTCCATGCCTTGATTCAACAGGAGTCGCAACAGATCACAGACACACACACACCAAGGGTTGGGCGTTACAACATGTGCCGAACGCAGTCTGCCGAGTGTAGTCCGCCCCAAGGATGAGGAGCATCAGTTTCGCCAAGGTGTCTCCTGGGCCTCCCGGACTGCAAGCAGGATGGTGGACAGCAGAAGGCGGCAAGTGACTTGTTCGTCACAACTCTAAGAGCTTAAATATCGTTCATCAAAGGGGAACGTGTGAAAGGGTATGCCACCTGGTACCTTCCATAGGTGTGAACATTTTTCCCTGGGCAGATGGGCAAGTAACTGGCAAGTATAATTCTTTGCAAATTGCATGCTTAAGTGCGCAACCATGTGATTGATGTTGCACTCAACTCGACCAGAACGGGAAAGTTCTGGGCTCGAGAGACCAGTTGTTTTTCCCTCTAGTGTGAAGGCAGTGGTCAACAGATGCCATCAACGAGCATGTACAACTGCTTTGAATCCTGGGAAGGTACATTTTAGGACTGTGACCATGCACCATCCAAATACTACTAGGAGCAAGGACGCTACTAGGAGCTCCATATAGCTCCATCCAAATCTGGCAAAAGATGTTGCGTGCCCATCGGCACATCGCGACACATCGCGATTCGCTGGAGGTACCTTTTCCTCATAGCTACTGCTCCCGCGAGTGCGGCAATTCAAGTGACTCGGTCGTTATCTGAATTCGGTTGTTGTCGGATCGTATTGTAGTTCTTCGGTTGTTATTCGGTCGTTATCTGAATTCGGTAGCTTTTTGGGAGGGGCACACCTCTGTCAACCACTTCCGTTCTTTGTAGTGTTTAGTTTGCATGAAGCTGCTTGCGGACGTGCATGGAGTGATCCTTCCCCCATCTTCCCCCTCTACATTCAAGCCAAGTTGCCAGCAAAATCGCGGCTTTTGCCGGGAGAAGTCACGGGAGAGTGATCTGGCTTTTGGTCCAGTTGGTGCGAAACTAGACCATCCGTGACGCTGGAAACTAGACCACATGGCCAAGAAACATGGAATGTGGCAGGTCCTCATTGGGTTTTGGGAGAGTGGTGCTTCAAGGGAGGAGCTCCTTTGCAGTGCTCCTTGGATTGAATTTCTCACTTGGCACACGGTGGCGGCCACAGTGGCACACAGTGGCACACCAGCCACCGAACAGGTAGGGCCTGGTCTTTTTTTCCGAGCTAGGAGTTGGATCAAGAAGTGGAAGTGCATGGGATTTGATGACTGCATGTCAGTGCCACTGAGTATTTTTTGACTCGCTTGCCTTGGCAATTTGAAGCCAACATTAGATTCACATAGATTCACCAATCGTTGTACCCCCAATTGCTTTGAGAGCTGGTGGGACGGACGGGTCGCAGTGCGTCGGCTCAAAAAGAACCCCAGGGAATGCATGACAATCAGCAATTGCTTGGACATGGAAACGTGTGGGCCTCAGGAACAGGGAGGACCCTGTTCGGCAAGAAACCAAAACCCAATAGTGATGGCCTCTAACCTAATGGGCGATGGCCTCCAACCTAATGGCCTTCAACCTGCTAGTGATGGCCTCCAACCTACTAGCGATGGCCTCCAACCCAACCGCGATGGCCTCCAACCTAATGG